TTTCTAGCAATGTTATACTGCGAGAAAAAAGTTAGAGGCATCTGACAAATACATTTTTATATAGGGTAGAACAGTGGTTGCATTTCTCACTCCATAATTCACTGTTTAGTTTGGTTACTTAAATAATCTAGACATGGTAAAAGGTCATGCTTGAGATGAACTGGTCTTGCACATACAGTTCTTGTCTTGGTTTATTGAAAAACTTTGAGGGCATGCCTACACTAGGAAATTTTAAAATAACTTATTTTTAAATAACTCCAGAAATAACCATTTTGAAATAGCGTGTATACATTACGGGGAAGCCTCGAAATTAGTTCGAGGCAGGCTCCCTTAATGTGGATGTGCTACCTCAACTTACAAGCCCTAGGAAGCACTGGGGAGAAATTCCTCTGAATGACTCTGGGGAGTAGTTATTTCAAAATAGCAGCAGTGGAGCATCCATACTACTGTGATTTCCAAATAACTATGTCAAATTAAGCGTGATTCCTCGTGCAAAGCAGGAGTTCTCTCTAAATATCAGGCTTGCTAGAGTGGACACTCCACTTGTTATTTCTAATTAAGGGAAGCTATTTCAAAATAACTCCCTAGCATAGACCAGGGCTTAGAGAGCATTTATGAAAACTATTTTTCTAGTAGGAATCTCTTTCTTCACTTGAGTCATTCAGTAAAATTACTAAGATTTGGTTTTACTCTCTCTTACAGCCTTTTTAAATGACATTAAAACAATTTACACACTTAATGAGGTGTGGGGGAGAGATCTGTTTTTGTTTAGACAACTTTGAAAGGGACCCATTGCTCATGGTCAACTGCAACGTTCTTAAATCAAGTGATATAATCAAATGGGGCCAAATAGTTTGTCATCTAGTCCAGGGACAGGAGACAAATGCATTGTTTTTAAACTGGAGTGGAAAGAAACACTGCATTAAATTCTCTCACTTCTGTCTTAAGGATTCTATCTAGCACATTGGAAGTGGAAGGAAGAAAGGGGTTAAGAATTCTGTAAGGACGCTCTGTCAAACTAGACAGGCCAGCAAAAACAAATGAATCCCTTCATACTCAGTTGGACTTGCCTATTGCAGTGTTTATGGTTGGCAATAAAGACACAAAAAAAGTCTTATCGCAGTGCCAAGAAGCTAGAAATATTCCTCAGGCCACGTCAAAGCTACTTCTCTCAACCTGCACTGAAGTCTCACATTAAAAGTGGTTTCCTACAGATATACCTTTAGAGCAATGTTTTCCTAAATCTTAAAAATAGGACAAGGTTGTGAGATAAAAAATCCAGTTCCAGACACAGACCGTAAAGTCTCTAAGTATGCCCCACAAATAATGTGGTTCCAAGAAGTACCAGCAAGCTCTACCTCAACTCAAGTAACTTTCAGAGAATGCTTATTTGTGGTCTCACAGCTGCTTTCCCTCCCACCCACATCCCCAACATTTTAAATAGAATTACCCACATTTACAGGTACATCTCTGAAAAGACACTTTACACAAGTTACAATGTATTACTGCAGTCACTAAACAAGCCCCATTTGACTATATCACTTGATTTAAGAATGTTGTTGAGGGAGGGCTAGCTCAGTGGTTTGAGCATTGCCCAGCTTAAACCTAGGATTGGGAGTTCAATCCTTGAGGGGCCCATTTAGGGCTCTGGGACAAATCTGTCAGGGATGGTACTTGGCCCTACCATGAGGGCAGGAGACTGACAAATGACCACTCAAGGTCCCTTCCAGCTCTATGAGATAGGTATAAGAGCAGCATTTCTGCCTTTTACAGAATACAGTGTTTTGAGAGTGTGTTGGCTAAATGTCAACTGCCCTCTTAGAAAAGGGATCTAGGATCATTTACTTGCACAGATGAAAGGTTGGTAAGACAGACTGTTCTCGCTGTAGAGAGCAACTATAATGAAGCAACCCACAAGTGAGCCCAATTTGTTGGGTGAAACATGAAGGAAGCCCTTCTGATTTAGTGATAATCTAGCTGAGCCATATTGACATTTGTTCAAAATTCAGTAATTTGTTATATTATAAAGTTAACTACAACTCTCAGTATGCCTCCTCCCAGAAATGACAGACACAGAAAATCTACTGCTACAAAGCAGAACAAAATTGGGATTTTTTGCTTTCAAAACTCTCAAATTTTAAGAAATTTCATATAATTTCACTTTCAGGATGCAGTGTAGGTTAGGTCAATAATTAGGAATAGTTAAATCTCAGCAGTCCTAAACAAACTGGTATTAAGTCTAAAATAGATGAATCCACTCTGAGAACTATGGGGGGGGGGGGAAACAACCCCATAATCACGTTTATATCCTTGAAGTGTGATAACATACTTTTCTTACATTAAGAACATGAATTTTTCCATATCTAAAAACATTCAGCTACTGTGAGAAATTACCATGTCTTAAAAGTAAAATGCTGTAGGACTAGGATATAATAATGTGAATGACCCAACTATATTACTTTTCCATTTTTATTTTAAGAGCAAAACCTAATTGAAGGTACATTTACACTTAAGAACAAGGTGGCCTCGTTCAAAAATATTCTGCACTTTAGATGTTTAAGGAAAAAAATGTCTTTTTACATGACTTAAACCTACATAGAGCTTTGCAGATCACAGTAGTCACCAATTGTTTTGTTAGGTTAGCAGCTATATTGCACAATTCTTAGATCCGTCTACTTGTAAAGTGCTATTTTGTAGCAAGAAATTAGTTTCACAAACATTTGAATAGGAAAGTGTCACTGAACTACTATTACAAGATGACATTATTTCCATCACTGTGAAAAATGGAGAACTGTTTGCCTTTGTACAATAAGGTAGTATATTTGTTGCTTAATAGACTGAGGGAGCAAGTACCATTTATTACTGTATTAATGTGTCCAAAGTATTCAAGTAATGCCTAGTGGAAATAAATTTTTAATTTAAATAATGAGGAAATGCATAATAATAGACATCTCAGAAGCTGGATCATGGTTTAGTTGACAGGCATGTTGATTTATTATAGTAATCTACTTATTAGTCACTGACTAATAAATAGTTCTGGCATAGCTGACAAATCTCAAAACATTAACTTTACCTTGCATTAAATTTAAGTTTATGATCCAGAATGATGATTCTCTTCAATTGTGGAACGTGGGGGAGAAGGAAGTACTGTGATTTTCAGATTCCATTTAAGTAAACACTATATACTTAGTAAAAGTGAAGTACATTTACTGCTTACATACATCAAGACAACCACAACTGAACAAGAAGACTGAGTTATTAAATATCTTATATTTCAGGAATATTTTCAGTTAGAGATACGTGTTTCTTACAAGCTATGGTAACAGTGCAAATACTTAAGCCATTTTTACACATACTGCTTTCAAACATATATAAATACAGCATTAGAGAATTTTAACACAACAAGGAAATGTTTGAGCTACACAAAGACTCAAAGGCAAAGAAAGAATGTCTCAAATGTAAATCAGTGCATTTTTCTAACATTTTTGCTAAAAACAGTCCTTTATTAATTACAAAGTTAACTTACGTGTATGTATTAACAGAAAGACCTGAAATTTTTAATTTAAAAGTTATGCATTTATCATTTGTGTCAATTCATTATTTGTTTTTGTCCAGCAAAAGATCTGGAACCATTATTATACAGGCAGATAACTGAGCTTCAGAGACATTGAAGACCAATGTTTCAAGACAAATTGTACTTTTAAATATGTTATGCAGTACATACTACAAACCTGGAATAGTAAATATATATTAAGAACCTCATTATTAACCACTGTACAGTTACCCACCAGTTTCTGGAAGCCATAATTTAATTTATAGTCAATCTAAATGTATATCAAAAACAGTAACCCTCCCCTGCACAAATACAACCAATTCAGTGCAATTTTGATTTCTAACTGCTTTGCATTTTCCATTGGTGCAAACATTTAGCACAGAAAAATCCATCACACTAGTGCTCATGAATCAGTTACAAAAATGCCTGATCACTCAAATGCATTAAGGCTCTTTTAAAATAAAGGGATGCACAAAAGATAAATGTACCATCGTGTGGGCTTTGACTCCATTAAAAAGAAAAGGCAGCAGAGCCAGCTAAGTAAGGATATAAATTATATCAACACATTTCCAGCTCTTGAAAAACAATTAGGTTGCTAATCAAACTGTGAGGAGCAAGTTTCAACACACAATCAAAGAAAGGCAGGAGAGTGGAAGAATGTCCTCCTGGGCACTATAAAGTTGGTAAAAAGGCAGAAGAGTTTGGACAATAATTTGTTTCTATGATTAAAAAATGACCCAAAAGCATGAGTGCAGCAAAAGCACTTAGGAGATATGATGTAATTAATCAAGATTAAATGCTAAGGCAGATCCTTCTGCTCACATTTTTCCATCTCAAAAACCGTACCAGTAGAGATTTGCACTACATATCATCTTGGTATTCCAAATACTTTTCTGTGACAGCTTCTTCAAGATGAATTCCTGCACTCCCCATTAATGCAAATGCTGGATACATTGTCCCAGAGCAGTCTACCTGGCGTTCATAGAGGCATTTCATGTGATCTGCATCATAGAATCCGACTTTGCCTCTGTCACAGTCAAGACAGATTCCTATACATGATGGCATCGGAAGAATTCTATTTGCCGAGTCTTTGGAAGCAGTAGGTGCCTTGGGAATAAACAATTTCTTCATGCCTAAAGTAATCAGTGTGAAAGGCTGTGATGAATCAAAGCAAGTATCTTCACTCCCACTGTCATGACCGCTGTCCTGTTCATACCTAGAACAAAGAGCACAATTTTCTCAACAAAGAAGGCATAATCAGAATGGTTCCGTTATTTTAACAACTGAAGTATTTAAAAAAAAAACCCACAACAGATGCTATGTGGACTAGAGCACTGCAAAAGATTTGTGAAATAAATCTTAGAACCATGCCACCTGGACAGCTTTTCAGGTGGTCTTGTGGTCAAAATAAGGGTTGACAATCAGGAACTCTGGATTAAATGTCTGGCTCTGCAACAGACTGTGTGAAACCATGGTCAATTCATGATGCTGTTGCCACTTTCCTTCTCTGTGACATAGGGTACTACTTTACCTCACAAAGTTCTTATGAAACAAAATTCACTAACATTCTGGTGAGGTCAGATGCTACAGTGATAAGCACTATATGGAACTCTTTAAAATAAAATTCCTGACATAGATAAGATGACAGTTCAGAACTGTCAACTCTGGCAAGACCCCTTCAAACTGAGGTGACTAGCTGCAGCAATCTTTTATAAAAGCCAAAATCAGACAATGCCTAAGAAATCTCTGAATTCAGTGAAGGACTAGCAGGATTCTTTGGTTAGAATGCTGAGCAGTGTGCTCTGTCTGAGGAAGACCAAATTCAAACATTTTTCTTCCCAGTTTCATGGTTTCGCTCCTCCTTGAGCCCCCTATTCTGGATTACAAACTCTTCTCTCATTGCCAGCCTCCCACAGAAGTGATATATTCAAATAGCTACACTTATTAAGACTGGCTGTTAAACTAGTGATAGTCAAATCAGCAGAGGTACCCAAACATTGTTCTAGAAACATTTTGACCACCTCAAAATAGGCAGAACCAATGGCGCACCGATCCTTCAATTTGTTTGAGGAACTCAAAAATCAGGCATGTGGCAGGGCAACAAACAGAAGAGCACCTTTAAAAAAATCCTCAATTTCCTTAAACATGCCACAACCCCATAACTTTTGTTCTTTGAGTTCTCTAGATTGTTGGCCTCACAGTGGATGAGTGAGGGAAGAAGAGATGTGGTACATGCCCATTCCATTTGAGACATGGAAAAATATTTTATTACCACATGCCTTATTGTCTTAACATCTTCAAGCTTTCTCACATGACCCCTATATTAATTACCTATCTAGTAAACCTCTGAATCTTGGGGCCTATTTCCAAGATGTTACAAGTCTACATCTACCCACTTACCAGTGAGAAAGTGTTGAGGGATCTCTATTGTGATCTATGAAGGTGGTGAAAGGGCATGACTTATATATTAACAGAAGAATAAAAGAATGTGCAAGATTTTTTTTCGTCCTTCTCCTCATTTCTGGACTCTGAATGTGTCAATTATACCAGTTTAGATCAGATTTCCATACATTCACTGGGTCATGCTCCTTAGTGATGCATAAAGAAAAGATATAATATTGAAGAGTAAGAGAACCTACAGTTTAACATGCATCATGGTTGGGGATGGAAGAAGGTTCAAGTTACATCATCTGAAATTCCTTCCAGGCTTAATGATTAATTTGACCCTTAGTTTTCTCTTGCACCATGACCCCACCCACTCTCAATAAACAACAACCAGGAGTGGCTTGAAAATTCTAAGCTTACAGAACTTTTCTTCAGTTGGAGGAGACAATATAGTGTCCTAACACTACTTTGTGTTTAATACTATCAAAGAACTCAAAGCACATAAGACAGCAGTCTTCTCCAGCTCACACATGAAGTTCTGATTCTTGGAATGACCAGAAGGCCCAGAACATGCAATCTCTTTATATGTAGCCAAAATCATTACAGTTGGGACAGGATACATTTGAAAGTCCTTCATTTGTACTTTGCCCCTCAGTTGCTGCTAAGGCAGCACATCTTACTTCAGTGCAGTGCTATGCCTGCAATCAGTGAGACATTGAGATCCAGTGAGGTAGACTACTATGAAAACATGTCACAGATACTGTTCCAGTCTCTCTTGTAAGACCTAACAGGCCCTCTGAACTCTAGGAAAGCTGCAAAACCTAGGATATCCTGTACACTTGCAATGGACAAAGTAAGACTCCTATATATTTCAATTGTCTCTGGGGACAAATTAGGGATTTGGATATTTTAGACATCAATATTAATTGCTTGCTTCTCAGGTAGTCAACCAACTGCTGAAAACATAATTTTTCTTTAAATCCGAGATTCTAACAATTGCTTCCCATCTCTTCCTTTACCCTTCCTCACCCACATGATTGCTGAAGCTAATCTAACTTGAACTAATGCGAGGTAAGGTCAATTCTTAATTCTACCAAATGGAAAGATGTGTCTAATTCATTTTAAAGTGAGGTACTGTTATACAAAGATCTACCACATTTACCTTGGGCTGGTCACATCACGGGGATTATGGAGCCATTCTTGTAACTTAGTGTTAGATGCAACTCCCACTTTCACCAAATATGAATATGATTCCACATGAAAAGCCCAAAAGTGCTTCCCTTTTGTGATTCCATTGTCTCCAATGATGTAGTCCAGGGTTGTGTAGCATCCCACTTGGATACGTTCAGCCCCTAGCAGCAAAGGAAATCCAGCCCTACTTTCCACAGAGGTTCTCCTTGGATTCAGCACGAGACGTTCACTGTTGTAGCCACATTTATCATCAAAAAGAAAACTAAAGACTAGAAAACAACAACAACAAAATCACACTAGGTCAATATTTGACCATGAGGGGTTTTTGTACGTATGTTACATTTTTCTAAGGTGAGCTAACACGAAAGGTAGGAATAAATGGTAAATTTTCAGAATGGAGAGAGGTAACTAGTGGTGTCCCCCAAAGGTCCATACTGGGATCAGTCCTATATAGCCTATTTACAAATGATCTGGAGAAAGGGGTAAACAGTGAGGTGGAAAAATTTGCAGACGATACTAAACTGCTCAAGATAGTTAAGACAAAAGCAACCTGTGAAGAGCTTCAAAAAGCTCTCACAAAACTAAGTGATTGGACAACAAAATGTCAAATGAAATTTAATGTTGATAAAGGTAAAGTAATGTAATGTACATTGGAAAAATAATCCCAACTATACATATAAAATGATGGGGACTAATTTAGCTACAACTACTCAGAGAGATCTTTGAGTCATTGTAAACAGTTCTCTGAAAACATCCACTCAATGTGCAGCAGCAGTCAAAAAAGCAAATAGAATGTTAGGAATCATTTAAAAAGGGATAGAGGATAAGACAGAGAATAGCTTTATTGCCTCTGTATTAAAACCATGGTACCACCCACATCTTGAATACTGCATACAGATGTGGTCGCCTTATCTCAAAAAAGATATATTGGCATTGGAAAAGTTCAGGAAAAAAAATTGTAGGGGTTTGGAACGGGTCCCATATGAAGAGATTAAAACAACCGGGACTTTTCAGCTTAAAAAAAGAAGAGACTGGGGGGGGGGGGGGGGGA